GTAAATAGCATTTCTTAATCTCTGAATCCATGGTCTTGATCTCTACAAATATTTTTAAATCCCATAAATGTACAAATTAAGATTAAAGAACAGGGAGGGAAACGGAGAGGGACCTGAAACTGTCTTGTGAAGCAACCTTGTTTCAAATCTAAATTTAAATTTAAAAATAAATAATAAAAAAGATCAAAGAACAAGTTAAGATTACAGACAATGAAAGAATGAGAAATGCAAAGAAACAGGACCTAACACTATTAATAAGGGTCTCCTGAGCATAAATTCCAGACATTTATATAAACCACCTATCTCATTTAAAACTTTAGAGGTACTTTTATGAAAAGGTTACACATATTTTCCAAGCTGTCTCTAACAAACAGCAGAAGTAAAATTTCAATTAAGTAGTGTCTGGGTCTAGATTTTAATCCTATTAACAATTCTCCCTTCTTTTCTCTAGAATAAGATGTCCCCATGATAATATCAAAGTAAAAATAAAACATTTTTAACAAAAACAACTTGAGTCCTAGTTAATCTTTCAAGAATCTCTAATATCAAGCTTTCAAATAATTAACATAAATAATTATAGTTTAAATCACAGGTTTAGTGAGTCTATGTTCAGGTTGTATAAGTAAACAGATGATAAGGATCTATCACGTAAAGTTCCTAAGTGATCCCTAATTAATATATACTTACTGATGAAGACTCAAAAAAGAGATCAACATCTCCAAGCCATCATCCTACCTTCTTCTCTTGTGGGTTATTCACCATATGCTCATAGATGAGCCTTGCTGGCTCTTCGTACTCAACCACGCTTCCTAGTTGGCTAGTATATGAATACAGGTCGAAATGCTAAGTAATTGTCTACGATCCTCATCAAATTTTTGACATCTGCTTTCTAGCAGCTACACAGGCGTTAATATTTTATATACCACTCCTTTTCAAACAAAAACAAAAACAAAAAATAATCCCACTTTAAGGAATAAATGGTATTTTTACAACCATGTGCACATAGCATAACTCAAACAAAAACTCCACAGTAACCACATTTATTTGCTGTACATATACCACTTGATATTTTCTAATTATTTAGGAAAGCAGAGTAGCAGCCCTGAACTGATTTCACAAGGACTAATCTGCTGCTCTAATTCTAAGCCCACTAAGGAAATACTGACTGAACTTGAGTGCTTTCCCTTCTTCCTCTCCACAGTGAAAGAGTCAGAAAACAAGGAGGGAAGAAAGGAAAACCTTGTCTAGCACATCAAAAGAGTTAGTTTATCAGCCCGCCCACCACAAAAGAACTACAATCACTCTCACTATTCAAATGGTAGGCAACCCAGACCAACCCCAACACCATTTTCATCCCAAACAAGCTGAACCAACTAAATAATTTCCAATGTCTATTTCAGGCAACTCTTCGCTGATATTTATAAAGCTATTCTAGATTCATACTCAAATGAAGTGAAACAGAATAATGAACTCAAAGCCACATGCTCAAGGCTCAACAAACTATGAAATTCTGCAATGACTAATCACAAAACTTCCTGTTATTTCACCCATACAGACTTAAAAACATGAAAACTACAGATTCTCTCCATATAATCACAAAGTATCTACAACAATTTTTTGTCATCTTCAGATGCTGCTTTTTATTTGTTTGTTTTTCCTGGTGAGACAGGGTTTTACTATGTAGCCCTGATTAGCCTGGAACTCATTATGTGGACCAGGAAGCCTTTTATCACATAGAGATTAGTTTGTCTCTACCTCCTAAGTGCTGGGGTTAAAGGCAACCACCATCATGCCTGGATATATAAAAGATGTGATGTCTTGACGTTCTTCCATGATTAAGTACTGCAATGACTTCTTAAAGTTTCTTAAATAAACTGTTTATAAACCCTTATTAGTCAAAACACAAAGAATCACAAGGTTTCAAATCAAATTTTACACATATTTTTCCTGTATCACCAGTACTGTAAAGTCCATTGAGTAGAAAATATTGTTTTTCCATTAAAGCTCAATATTAGCTAGAATGTCAAAAATTAGGGTGTTTTCTTAGGATGTTTCTTAGTTATGGTGTTATAAAAATAACCTAGGAATACTTGTAAGTATTATTCCACATAACCAGTCATGACTAATTAGAAAGGTCTATTTTATAAGTGTAATTTTAACAGATTTTTGTTTGATCTAAGTATGTCAGAATTACAGAATGTGAATACAACTTTACCCCCCCAAAAAAATAGTACTGTTTTACAAAAGAGTTACACTAAACAGTGAAGATACATGAAAAATTAATCGTACAAGCAACAATAATTTCTCAAGTTTCAGTCCACACAGCACTTAAAACACTATCACTCTAGTGATCTACCCATATTGAAAGAGCTACTCTAGACAGACACAAAAGCACCACTATTCAGATTGACACAGAGAATGACACAAAGAGAGTTGATGGGAGAGAATAAAACACATACTATCAAACTTAAAATATAATCCTTTATTCATGTATTGGTCTTCCTACTTTTCCGTGTTCAAATACGTAAATGATCAATGGTTGGTTTTTATTGCCCTTAATAGCCCAATGGAAATTCAGTAATTTGATTAAATTCTAAACCTAAATATTAAGGAAACAAATACAAAGAAATGTAATCAATATCCCAAAGCTAAGTATGGGGTGTCAGCAGGGCAGACTTAGGTGGGGCATGAAGGGCTACAGTGTTTCCCAAGTCAAAGCAAAGATGACACATTTTACAGCTAGCAGTGGCAAAAGAAACTTGAGGGACAGCAAATGCACGCAAACAAACGCAAGCACAGTGCGATGGTCCAAGGACATCTTACTCCGCCTCCTCGGAAAGGAGCATCAGCATTGAGGCCTTCCAGTGTTTGCACTGACGTTTTTCATTTTAGAAGGAAACAGAGCAAATAAAAAAGTGACAATTTTTACTTTGAAAATGAAAATAAATCTCCTAATCAGCAATACAAAAAAACTCATCAATTTACTTTCTAAATACTAATACTAATACTAAGATACTTATACAACATAATTCAGATTTCCAAGGATTCATAAGAATCCCAGCCTAGTATCAGCCATGTAAATCAGGAATATGATTTACCTTCCTGTCTCTATGTCCTTAGTTGTGAAGACAAAGTGAATTAAGATATGTAATGTGTTTAGAATATAAAGAAGCAAGGTAAATAACTAAAATTAAGTTTATAAAAATTATGGGACTGGAAGTAGTTGCTATTAGACTTTCATAAAGTTTTTTTAAACATACCTACTTAGCTTGCACACGGGCTCTATGTTCAATTCATTGTACCACAAAAATAATAGTACGACCATTTTTATGAATGTAAGCGTAAGAAGTTATATGGAACACTTTAAGCTCTTTCATTTACATTATAAAAATTACATGAGAAGACGAAAAGCTGAATCCAGCTAGGTCACCCTTATGCTTCAGATCTCAGACCACGATACCCAACCGAGGCTACACTTGGAAGACATCAGACTCAGCGCCTCTGCCCTTTAACAATTTTTCATTCAGCACTACATTTGGACTCAAGACTCCTAGCCTATGTCTTACTAAGACTCAACGAACTGCTGAGCAAGTTCTTCAAGAAGCACACCAAACTGCTAGAGCAAAATGCAAAACACCCCCAAACAAAAGCGCGATGCAGGCACCAACCACACAGCACACAGAACACGGAACGTGTCCTCTTTTCCTCGGGCATCCAGAGCTGGCTGGCTGCCTCCACGCCCACTACAAGCTTTTTTATTTCACGCTGCCACTGAACCTTCCTATACCAGGCCACCTCCCCATCCAGACGTTATCTACATCTTTGCTACAAACAGGGTCTTTCTTTCTTGTCCAGCACCACCCGAGAAATGAGTATCAAGTTGTGTCAACATCACATCTACTAAATTAGTGTCACATTTTAACAAGCACCCGAGTGAGTAGGCTTGACCAGTACTCCCTATCACACTGCTGCATCCCTTTACACTCCAATTTGGAGATATGGGTTATGGACAGCAAGACCTGGAATCGGACAAAACCGACGACAGATTAACATAAGAGAGACTTTCTCTGCCACTGTATTCAGAGGCTTCTTTTCCTGCTGTGCCCACACTTGGTGCATCCTGCGCTACAGGATAGTGCTAACAACAGCTGGTTTCGTTGATTATATTCTGAGGCGCTACACGGACCAAAGCGCTAGCATTTCCGCACAGGGCAGCCCAATCCGTCTAACATGTAACCTGCACGCTGAAGTTTCCGGATTCGGTCCAATGCACTTGAGAAATGAGGCTGCAGAAAGTGAGGGGGGCGGTGCATAAAAACGTAAACTTCAAATGAAAACTGTTGACACTCTCGAACGCTGCATTAGTCAACAACTTAAAATACTGGAACTCAAACTATCCATTAAGTAGTATTGCCCAAACGCTAGGTCGCGTTTGCACAGAATGTTTTTTGGAAGATTAGTACATTTCCAGAAAAAAACGAGGGGGGCAGGGCAACTTTTTTCTTTTCCTGGGTTCCTGACAGGCCTTGAACTTTCTGGCGGGTGTGAATAACTTAAGCAGCGCCACAACCCGGGACGGCAGGAAGAGGGTTTCCCCGCTCACCAGCGGCTCGTGCCGCGGGGGGTGGGGGGCTCGGGCAGCCTGACTTCCGGCCTGCGAAGGAAACGTGCGGGCCCGGGCTGAAAGCAGCAGGGGAGTCGGCCAAGGAGGAAGTCGGGCTGGCTGAGCCACCCGGCCCGGCTCCCGGGCCTCCGAGGAGCGGGGACGAGCCGACTGCGGGGCCGCCGCGCTCGCCCGGACGCCGGAGCCCGCCCGCCCGCCTCCCTCCCCAGCGCGCCCGCGCGCGTTCGGCCGCGGCCGCCTCAGGCCTCCCCAGGCGGCGGGACGGCCGGGCCCGGCGAGGCTGAGGGGCGGCCGGGGAGGGAGCCGTGTGCGGCTGGCCGGGAGGGCGGCGGGGAGGCGAGGCGCTCTTCCGCCGCTGGCGCCGTCGTGTGTTTACCTGTGCGCACGCAGCAGGGCTCCCCAGCGCCTACTCCCTGAGCCTCCTCCCTCCTCTCTCTCTCTGTCTCTCTCTGTACCTCTCTCTCTCTCTCTCTCTCTCCTTCCCTCTCTGTACCTCTCTCTCTCTCTCTCTCTCTCCCCCTCAGTCTGCCGGACTCGCGTGCAACCTGGAGAGGGCGGGAGGTGGCGGCGGTGACCGGCAGGCACGTGACCACGCTCGCGCCGTAACGGCGTCCGCCCCCCCCCCCCCGCGCTGCACCTCTGGTAACCTCGCGGCTCCGGGGACCGGCGCGCAGGCGCGCAGGGGCCGGCCTGGGCGAGCCGGCGGGGCACCGGCGCGGGCGGGCGGGCCGGGGCAGGTGCTTGGGGGTGGGCACGGGGCGACGGGGTCCCAGCTCCCTCCCGGGGCCCGACGCGCCCCAGGCCCTGTCGACGCGCATGCGCGTGGGGCCCCGGGCCGCGTCCGCGCCGTGCCCGGCCGGAGTGTAGACGGGAGCCCGCCCTTTGCCGCAACCCCAGGTCCCCACGCCACGCGGGGCTGGCGAGGGCAGACGTCTGCTCTCGGGAGGCCCCAGGAATCCGGCGCTGCTGCCCGGGAACTCCCATGTCCTTGTCCCCTGTAAAAGGCCTTTTCCCGGCGGCGCCCTGGGTCTGCAGCTGGGCAGATGGCTGGCTGCTCCTGCCACGCCACGGTTTGGAGGGGCGTTTTAGCCCTTTGGACGACACCGGAGAGATGTTAATTCTCTTGCAAGCCCACGCCGGTGAAACCACATAGGTTTTTTGTTTTTTGTTTTGTTTTTTTTCCTTTCATACCATGAGGTCTAGTCTCCCTAACCATCTAATGACTGACAATTTTGGCAAATGACCATACCCTGATCTTGTCGCCCTCTGCCCCTTCTGAACCATGGCATAGGGCTACCTTTAGCCTCCAGCACTGGCATGCGGTGTTTGCTTCTCCAGTAGGAAAGCCTGTGAGTGGTAATGACAATTACTGTAACAAATACCTCATCTAGTTTTTTGGGGGAGGGGGGTATCTCTTTTATTAGTCTATCTTTACAAAAAAAAAGGCTCAAACAGAAATTGGTAAATTGGTTGATATGTTCAGAATAAGAAAACAGGGAACAGAAGTTAGCTAGCTTCCAAGGAAGGCATAGCACACTTCACACAGGGATACCCTGTTTTTTTTCTTATGCCCTCCTTGCCATAGCAGAAGCAGGACAGGTTGATTGGGCTATGTTAGTGCTTCTAGCTAGATAAATAAAATGTAAAAGATGTCCTCACTGAAAATCTGGCTAAACTCATTACGTAGACTGATGAATTCTCAGAGGGTAGAGAAACAAGACTAACAACAGAATCCTAAGAAATGTGAGGATGCATCAAACAAAGAAACAGAACAGAAACTGCTCTTTGCTCCTGACCTTTCGCCAGCTAACAGCCAGCCATATGATGGTATGCCGCGGTGTATAGTGGACTTTCTCCAGCTAACAGCCAGCCATATGATGGTATGCCGCGGTGTATAGTGGACTTTCTCCAGCTAACAGCCAGCCATATGATGGTATGCCACGGAGTAGTGGACTTTCTCCGGCTAACAGCCAGCCATATGATGGTATGCCATGGTGTATAATGGACTTTCTTCTCCAGCCCCCACATGCCTCGCCCCAAACCCTCATCTCCTTCCTCAGCTTCTTCGACTTTGCTGGTGTTACTGGAATTGTAGGGGTCTCTGTGTGGTCACCAGATGCCACAGCACATGTCTAACTCCTCTTGAGGGTCTTTGTCTCATTAATAAAATAAGAAAGGACTGAAACAAAGCTCAAGGACAATTTTATTAGAGTTTAAAGGAAAAACTTGGAAGAAGACAAGCTGTAAAGCTCAGCAGCTTCTCAGAGGAGGAGGATGAAGGAGCTAAGGTAAACAGCCGTGCAATAGTAGAGGTCTGAATGAGAACGGCCCCCTAAACTCATATATTTGAGGGTTTGGTCATATGGGAGCAGAACTGATAGGATTAGAATGATTAGGAGGTATGGCCTTGTTGGAGGAACTGTCTTACTGAGGGTGGTCTGCTGTGATGGAAAGGGACTAAACTGACACTGTAAGCAAGCTGCCAAGTAAATGCTTTCTTTGTAAGAGTTGCCCTGGTCATGGTGTCTCCTGACAGCAACAGAGCAGACACAGAGGGCAGATACATGGCCAGCAGCGGCACAGTGGAGAGGCAGGCTGGACAAACAGGAAGAAAGCGCAAAATGTTGGGAAGGAAAGCCCAGGGTGTTTAGGAAGGCATGCGTAGGAAGAGACAAAAAGAAGAACAGGAACAATAACTCCTTTCTGAAAGGCAGGCTGACTTACTAGCCACATAGCTGCAGCCCTGCACAGGAGACTGGGAGTCTAGGAGGAAAAGGAATGTCACTGAAGAACGGGTTAGCCCAGCCAGCTCTCTAACTGAACTTAAGGTGAGTCTGGCTATCTAAGGGCCCGTTCCAACTGGAATATTAGGTCTGCAGGATTGAAAGTACAGCATCATGATGGGGAGTTTTTTACTCTAACACTAGCAGTAGGCAGCCAGCTTACCTACTAAAATATGAGACAAAAAGGCAGGAAGATAGGAGAAACCTGTGTCCTGGTTTTTCCAAACGGGCAGGCCTACTTGACCTCCCACTATCCTTTAGATCACAACAGTAACCAATGAGCCGGTTTCTCTCCAGCTTGTTCTGTAAAACCCCAGTCTATACAGCACCATGACAAGGCACAGAATAGCCGCTTAGGTTCAGTATCAGGTGCTTTAAAAAGGGGGGAAAAAAAGGTAACCTTAGAAAAACAAACTAAACTGATGGATAATGACTCCATAAAATAGGAACATGGTATAAGACTCGCTTAGAGTATGCTACTTGTAATGCAATCCGTGTGCTTAAGGTGGGGGGGGGGGGGCTACATTTTAAAGCAACAATATCTATAGGAATTCTTGGTCTTGGGTGACACAGCATGAAGCATAAAGAAATGAAAACCATTTTTAGGAACTGTGGGCGCTCCAGGGATAGCCCTTGATGATAACTGACTGCTAAGCCTGTATGCGCACTCAGCTTCATCCGTTCAAGCCAGGCTAACATGCCTGCAGTGTGTCGTGTCCACTGGGGAGTGAGACGGTTGTGGCTTTCTCTTTCTTAGTTTTGTGTCATTTGTTGCTGCCTTCACATAAAACTCCGGTGCGTCCAGTCCCATTTTGGTTTTCTTGTTTCTGTGACGACCTGAAGAAACACACGCTCATCCCATCCTTGACACAGGACACAGCTTTGGCTTAACTGTGAGACAGCTTAACTCTCATCCTAGCCATAGCAAACGAAATTGACACTATTTTTTCGAATCCCTACCAAAAAAAAAAAAAAGAATGAAAAGAAAAAGCTGAAACCAAAAGTCGATTTGTGTGTAGTGTCTGCATACCTATCCGTGATAGACTTCTGGCTCCTCCTCCCTTCCAAATCTATTTTTCTCTTCTTCCATTGGAATTGAGTTTCAGCTGGGAACATAGCCATCCATCTGGAGGCTACATTTTCTATTCCTCCTTGTGGCTGGGTGTGGCCATGTGACTCCGTTTTCATCCATAGAATGCTAGAGGAAGCAATGTGTTCGTTTTCTATATTACTTGCCTCACCACAAAAAGAAAGACACACCCTATAATGTTTCTCCTTCTCTAGTCCTGCTCACACTGTACAGAAATACAGACATACTGACCTAGCTCCAGATGCAAAGCCTGGCAGAAAGTTGCTGGGCTCTGGATTGCTATATGAAAAACTACCCAACATTGACTTCATGCACCAACTTTTATTAGAGAGATAAACACATAACTTCCTTAAATCACTGGATTTTTAAGCTTTCATTAAAGCCCCACACAACACACACACACACACACACACACACACACCACATATATTACAATTCTGGTAAATAAGTTGTTATGTGAAGAATCTTATGAAAAACTGTCTAGATCATCCTTTAAATTATAAAAATGTAAATGCATTTTGCCCTAGAAGAAATGATGTTGCATTTATAGGTACCTGAGATTAAATGCCTTAATACTATAAAGTCCATTTTACATCATTATAAACAAGCATAGCTCATCTTGTAAGCTCCTATCTTCATTAAATGTTTGCCCCATTCTGTTTTGAGTGACTGCTTTAAAGGTCTGACATTCTGGAGGGTATGTGTTTTATTCAGTTCCAGACTTGTAGAATTTTTTTAAATGTCTTGTATTTGATATATTTGTTCGTTTGGTTGGTTGGTTTTTGATGTAGTCTTCCCTGTTTGGCCCAGGCTGGCCTCAGACAATCTTTTTACTAAGGTATCTGGGTTGATGAGATCATGAAAGGACTGAAACAAAAAGAAATAAGTATGTTTCACATTATAGAAATTGTCGACTTACCATGTGACCCTTACCACAGAGAAGCTTGTTTCACCAAAACAGGGTCATAAAGTGACAAAGAATATAATCATGGGTGTGACATTCTGCTGGCCCTTCTAATACTGTCTTCGTTGGAAAACATGACTTAAGTAGAAGGTATTACATAGGCATGCACTGTCAAGAGACAAGAAAAATAGAAGCTGCCCTCCAGTGTGCCTGCCAAAAACATGAGCACACATAAATTAGGTGTAGCATGTAAAATACTCACACAAAGACTCCTGGCTAGATCATGAGAACAGCCAAACGCTTATCTGAAAGTGCTAAGTTCTTGTAAACCCAATATAAAGGGAAGAGGGTCTATGGGAGAGCTCCTTCCTTCCAGAACAGATTCGTTGCAACGCATGAACACAAGTAGTTGAGCCCCATGGTCATCATTGGTTCATTAAGCCTAGGAAGAAATTATTTTTAAAAGGTGACTGGAATATGAATACTGGAGGCGTGTAATATGTTTTGGTGACAAGGAAAATGTATAGCAAAAATGTCTTATCCAGTCTTTGGCACATTTGGTTGATTCCATCCATTTAAAAAACCAGTTAAAAGTACACAGTGGGTACAAAAGAAAATGGATGCTTAGGAACAGGTATTGGGAAAATATCAATTAGCTACATCACAACAACGATGCATAGCCAACAACCCAGTATCTTAATGACTTGAAAAACAACTAATTTTATTCACTCAGAAGTTACAGGTTGGCAGTAGGTTACCTGATGTCAATTCAATTGGCTGTGCCGAAAACGGGCTTTGTTGGACTCTAGA